AAACAACTCCAGGAAATCTTTGGATCTGCCATTTTTTAGTATACTAAGGGTCATACCAAAAAATGAGTTCCAAAAACAATCAGAAATTGGATAAAAATGTTACAGATATGTTCTTCAATTAAAAGAGATAAATAAGTGAAATCATGAAGACTAAATCATTGAAAAGCGTCGTTTGCTTCTTTCTGAGCACCGAGGACATAATTTATTGAACAGCCCTCGTATTTTATATGCTTCATAAAATTAATTTTTTCTTTTTTTTACATATAGTAAAGATGTCATTTAAAGATACAAAAAAGATGCAAAAACAAAAAGGTTGATCCTTTACTAAGAGAGAAAAATACTTTTTACGGACTTTTGGCTGAAACCTGTACATAGATTGGAAGCGTTTAAATGCCATAGTTCTAGTTTGTTTGAAAAATCATATTTAATTGACATACGTATTTTAAAGTTTAGTCCCTTATCATTAATTCATCTTACATTTGTAAATTTCTTCAAATATTTGATTGTGTTAAAATCATAACTAAATTCATTTTTCTATAATACTAGTAAATTGAGAGGCAGAAAAGAAGATATTTTCATAAGCCACCATTCCACCAAAAATATAATCCCTGTTTGTTTTCAAACACAGTTAACCATTTCTCTTTAAAGTTGTACAATTGTGATGAGGAAAGAAATATATGGTCTTATAACGAAACATAAGGAGATAACAAACAGTATTCCAAATCAGAAGTCCATAAAACAATACAAAATAGGAGCAGAGCAAACACAGACCTCCAAAACATCAGAGGTGAGATTAGGTGTCATGGGGGAGTAAGCATCCCCTGCCGACCGGTCACACCCACCGTGTGCTCCTTGTCATGATCTGGAAATAACGGAAAAACCGTCGTTAATTCAGTGTATAAATAATGGACTAACAATTAGTAGGAAAAACGTCATTCTGCATTTGACTCATAGATAAATTGCATTTGCTGACAAGGTTATTATATCGACCATAGAACTTAAGAAATGGTGACTTTAAACGAGACTTTTTGTTTCATCAACTTGTTTGTCAATAATTTACCTCGTTTTAGAAATTGTTTATACGTGGAACATGCTCTTGTGTATCTAATCAGTCAAGAGAAATGAACTCGTAGGCAGGTGATGAAGGTATATTGTTGCATAAGTAAGGGTAGTTGACGATAGAAAAGTTAAAGTCGTCTCCTTCGCCTAAGTAAATAAGAGATATATGCAAATATACTTTGTTTCATCTTGTCAGAAAACAGAGAAGAATCCTGCCTTAATGGTGATAGGAACAGCCATGGTGTTAATTAGCTGCTTCTTGAAGAAGTCGATGGTACTGGCTTCTTTAACTAGGCTGCTTCAGTCCCTGATTGAGAACTTATACACGTCTCGATAGACACATTTACATGTCTGGGTGGCTGACGGTATTTGCTGCCCCTTGCCTGGGTATCCCCTGGTGTTAAGTACGATGCTGCTGGGATATCCATAAGGTTATTGCTGATCTTATACATCATGATAAGCCGTGAGTCTTATCTTAATCGGGGTACAGTCATTTACAAGTAACGAATGTTTGCCAGTATCGAATATTTTTTATTTATATACTGAAAGGAAAAAGAAACGCAGGGTAAATTTTTGAGGTGAATTAAATTTGTTTTTCTTAAAATACTTTTTAGTTTTCCTATTTAACTTTTAAAATCATCTTTCAAAAAGATATAACCAAATTCTCGTATGATTTTGTGTAATCATTCATGAGTTATTGAAGCTCAAATGACGATACCCCCCAAAAGGGAAAATCGAAAACTCTAATTATCTTCAATGTCCATCTCGTGCATCTGTCAGTGTCTTATTTCTCCTTTGCATGGAATTTCATCAGAATGTTTATCTTTCAAACCCTGTCTATATTTAGCATGAAAATATAATCACGCAAAAAAATAAGTCAAACGGCGCGCGCATGCGCCAGTGAGAGGAATACAACAGTAAGTTGACTGGCTCAAAAAAAAAACAATATTGCAGAATTGTCAAATTTCGCACGATTTTAATGATTATAATCGTGTACAGTATAAATGGCTGTTTTTGTGGTAGTAAGGTGGCGATTTAAGAGATGACAGGACGAATAGCCCGCTCGTAACATGGCTCTGTTTTGCGTTAACGTCATTGTCACGGTTGATTGAAATCCACTCCAGACCCTCTCTGACAACGGCTAAAAAGTTTTATAGGGGAAAATTTACAAGAGACTGCTTAGTAAACCGTTGTTGCCGTTTTCATTAATTATAGGCAATTCGAAAACAAGTCCCCATTGAACTTCCGTAAACTGTGCCAAGATTGCAATAAATTCATAATGTCTCTTTATATTGAAAAACGATGTGCATACCTCATATGCATCAAATAATGCAACAGGATTTGTGGACAAACATGTCGTTATCAAATTGCACGTGTTTTGGGCTTTTTAGCGTTTTCCCTACGTGACGTCATAAATTTAACGGTTGAGTAATTCTGAATACTGATTTTGATGCACAGTAACTAAATTTCCCATGTGACCAATTTTCGTAATTTTCGGTCATGTGTTCAAATTTTTATGGACAATTACGCTACACTGCGTTTCTTTTTCCTTTCAGTATATATTCTAGTAAAACATAGTGACGAGTTTTAATCAAAGTACTCAGAAGTACAGAGAGCTCATTTACAGAGTAGGATGGATTTCTTACATGAATCACGTTTATATTCTGATGAAAAAAATTATTTTAAAACTATCAATATAAATGATAAGACACCGACAGTGAGTTTTTCAATCCTAATACCACGGTCCGATTTTGTCAGAATCAGAATTAATCTGGTACCGCAGCTGAATGTAAACAAACAGGTCAGTCTGGTTCCCTCTCCTGCTTTACCTCGTATGTGTAGAGAACTACGGTAACACTGATTATCAAAAATCCTTACGCTAATGAACTATGTTCTTTGACTTATGAAGTTTTCAAAGTCATTACTACTAATGTTTATTTTATATAATTAAAACTTCGTTTTATTTTTGTTGCTTTATTTAGCGTTTGTATTATCTCAAAAGCGGTTGAGAGTAAGAACTATATTTTTGCACGTAACTTTAAAATGACGACTATGGGGTCAACATCCTGCCTTGAACAGGATCACATACGCCGGCAATTGCTCTTTGAGCAATAAGCCCGGCTAAAAATCTTACTAGGTAAATACAATAAAAGGATGAATTTTCTATCCCTGTTTTGTGTTTTTATAATTTCTGCATGATTATATTTCCCACAGTATTTTCAATTTGAAACGATGACCTAGATTTTTAACATGTGCGATTGCAAGTCAAAGAAAAGGAAAGTGAGTCGACAAATGCGTCTAAATAAAAATTTTCGGTAAGTTGTCGATCCAGATTGAGTAGGTAATCAATATTTATGATAAATATAAAAAGACAACTTGTCATGTTCTAAATTTTGTACATGTATTTACTCCCACCCGGTAAATTCAAACTTTAGAACATGACAGAACCATGCAAGCTTAATTCAGTACAAAGTGGGTTGCTCAATGTTATTTCATGAAGTATATAAGTTATGTGATTATAAAACAGCTTTTTAAAAATTAATTCAGTTTTAAAAAGGTCCCGTTTTTGCACGTCTAAATTCCATTGATTTTCCATAGTGAGCCTTAACAGTGCTGCGATGTTTTCTGCAATTAAATTTCAAGAACATTGCAATTCCTCAAAGCCTGTTTTCCAATATCTGGATTCTCAAAAAGAAATTTTATTATAGGAAATGAAAGCACCATGCAAGTGTCTACTTTATTTTGATGTATGAAATGGGAAAGAGGGTTATAGATAAATAATTAATATAAATACAGGTCATTCTTTGCATAAAGTGAACCTAGCTTTTTTTAGTACCATTTCTTTGTTTAGCTTAGAAATACAAGTTAAACAACAATAAAGAAAATTTTGAAATTCAAAGACGTGGGTTGTATTTATAAGACGTAACTAGAAACCGGTTATACTGGTAAAATGACTGTACCTTTAGTTTACTTCAGAGGGGATTAAGAGGAGAAATAGAAGTCAAACTAAAAAAGCATGATTTTTCAATGAAGAGTAAAGTTTTAATATTGGCATTGGCGTCGGAAGCAAATTGAAAGTGGGGGGCTAAGTGTAAAAAAAAAAAATTACACCTTCAAAAAAACCTAACAAGCCCCCCCCCCTCCAAAAAAAAAAAAAGGGAGATGTCCATTTCCCAAACACGAATATCCTATTTCGTGTTTGTGTGTGTGTGTGTGTGTGTGTGTGTTGGGGGGGGGGGGTGTAGGTTCGAACTTCAGTACCATTTTTTTTTTCAAACAAAACAACTTCCCCAATTTTTAACCTATTCTGCGACGTGTCTGTGGAAAGTGCAGGGGGGTGAGGGGAGGGGGGCTTAACCTACGAAACAATGTTCAATGTCTATACTAAGTATAGATTTGGAAAAGAAGTGACATTGATTTGGAATATATTGTAACCGGACCGTCTAGGGTTAGTCCAGTATCTAATATTAAATCCGAGTTTAAATGATATCGAAATTCAATGTGTTAATAGGATATTATATTCGGTAATAATTAAGAGATTCAAAACAAATATAAACAATTACATATGAAACATTATCATATCAATGTAATTCAGCGGAGTGTGAGTGATATTTACCGTTAATATAAGGTATTATCCCCCTAATCCCTAAAAGTACAGTGTACACCTGATGTGTTCTAATAAAAGTTATGGACTCCTCCAAAGTAGGCTCTACAGTCCCGACACGCGCAACCATCACACTATTTTACTTTCATTTGAATTAAATAAACGTTTTATTTTGTGCTTTATTACGCAGAGGAATTATTTTTAAGAGCTACCAAAATATGAATTTCATGTTAAAAGGATTTACTCAGAAACAGCATCGACTCTTATCAGTACTTTCAGTACTTTGATTTATTTTGTACGTCCTGTCAAAAACTGGTTTCCTCAGGTGCCGGTAAGAGAACCAGTTAAATAGTCTCTTCCCTAGAGCAGTCACGAGAATGTTCCTAAAAAAAGTGTAGAAGGCCACAGGAGAGCGTCTGGAAATTAAGGCCGTGAAGGGAAAATAAAACATGGTTTTCGAGTCGTTAGTGGCTGATCTGATCAACAAGTATCTGGGAGATTTCGTGGAGAACTTGGACAGATCGCAACTGAAGATCGGGATATGGGGAGGTAATGCTTCTGATGTTTACAGCATCCGTCACGCATGGCTGAATCATTGTATGGTGCTCATAACGTTATGCCCGATCGATCTGTTTAGCGCTTTGATGGTTGTCAATGCCAGTACTTGACTCCGGATATATTAATGATAGATTTGATCTCTCCTTTAAATAGATACTTTCCTGTGTTGTTGATTTGTACTGCGCACAATAGGCGCGGATCAAGATTTTTTGGGGTGTAGATCTTATTTTGTATTTGTAGATTAAATGTACCTGCAATACACAGTTTATTTACAAGATTGCAAAATCACAACCAGGATATTATCGTGTAACATGTTGAAAGTGAAAATGTAAAGATTGGCACCTCAGAACAGGTCACCTTACCATTCAGTATACGAATCTGACTCTGTCTAAAAGTCTATAATCTCCAAACCTGTATCAAGTGCCGACATACCCCCACCATACTATTGTCCTAGACCCACGGGGGGTTTCAATGCAGTCCCATTGGCTAAGACCCCCTGCCTTCTGCACCTCTCTCCCAATATTACTAAATACCTTGATCCGCCACTGCTTTCATGGCTGTCTTCTCATGTTGTGATTTCACATATTATATTGGTGTTCATTACATGTTAACTGGACTCATGTATACATTCTGTATTTATTGTCGCCTTGTACAGATATAGGGGTTATGAAATACACAACTCGACAAGTTACAGTAATGGTTACAACTGTTTTAATTGACATTGTCTGTACGTAGGTATAGTACCTTGATATGTTTACGTCTTATCACTTGACATAAACACAAGTTGACATTTTTTTAATTCTACTCTAATGGAGAAGTTTTCTTTATTCAAGAAACTTTAATGCATGAAAAAAATTCAGTCTACATTATTTTATAATTTAAGTTACACCACACAGAGTTTTGTTAAGTGTTGGTTATAAATTTTGATATTCACACAACCTCTTTTCTATCATAGCTTTGCTTCATTTTTGTGGTAGCAATAAAATCACAATTATTAGAGACAAAAATAAGGAGATTGTTTATAATATTAAGTTTATTTTTACTACTTTATGAGTTCTTTAAAGATATTTAGATTTTCGGGCAATTTTTGTTATCTTTGAAAAAAAATTTCAGTCTTAGTTTATCACAAAAAGTATGTTATTTTAGTAAGCATTTAGAAATTGTGGCATAATTTCTGCTGTAGATGAAATTTCCATTAAAAAAAAAAAGAAGAAAAATCAGATTAAAACAAAAGTTGTTAAAGCCTTGATTATGTTAATTCTTACAGATTTTATGTTTATATGTTACAGGAGATGTGGTTCTACAAAATTTAGATTTAAAAGAGAGTGCCCTGGTAAGGAGACAAGTCAAGCTTCCGGATTATTAAATGACATTTAAAATGCTTAATTGTATTATATTCTGCTCTCATTTAAAAGGAGATTTGTTATACACTTGTGAATTAATGATTATCAATTAAATCAATTAATATTTGGTTTTATTAGGATGACTTGGACCTACCTGTCAAGATAAAAGCGGGACATATAGGTAAATGAGTTTTACGTCTATGTATAGCTCACCTAATCCTTTGTATTTTTTTTTTCTCAGTAAGGTAATGAGAAGGGATTCAGTGATGGCAGATTTATATCAGAATTATTTTCTTTATCTGGAGTGTTTCTTTAATTTGTACACATATACTTGTATGCAGCTTTTGGTAGTTACCCATAGCAAAAAGAAATGGCATTTTTCCATTTTATTTCCATTCATTCAGCATTTTATTTCCATTTTTCATTTCAAAACCATTTTTCCTACATTTCTCTATCGTTCAATTTTTGAAAGCCATTTTTTCAGCACCATTTAAAAACCATTTCTGTTAGAAAATGCTTTATAAATGGTGAACATGCAGCATTTTCTTTCCATTTACTTTGAGTAAATGGAAAAGAAATGCCAGTTTGGTGATCCAACTTGCTTGAGTGTACCATTTTTCTCCCATTTATTTTCTGAGAAATGGAGAATTGAAAAAAATGTTAGCTTTAGGTAGAATTTGTTGGTGGTTAATTGATGCCATGTGCCAGGTTTTTATAATGGGGCACTGGATATCAGATTTCCTCCCATGCTCTGTAGTGACCGCCTTTTCTGTAAGTTTGAATATTGGACAAGAGCACTTTGACCTAGCTGGTAGTGAGTTTAGATGGCTGAAGTTATTCTTCAAGGAGTATTTAGGTTTTTAGTGATTTTTGATGCTGACAAAACTGTACATTGATGGTCAAAGCAGAAAAAAGAATTACTAACTTCTTGGAGGATGATAATTATGTGACAGTTTTTCATGTTTCCAACATTTGGGAAGTATAGACGGAAGAAATGCAGCAAAATTTCCATACACAGAAAGGACCTTATTATTCTTTTTGAGTGGTAAGTATAAATATCAGTGCATTATAATTTTTATCAATGTCAGTTACAGAAAAATGTTCTTTTTCCAAAGAAAACACATAAGGAATGCCCATTAAACATGCTGATGCAATAATCTCTAAACAAATTAATTAATCTTGTTTACAATTGGTCAGACTGAGGGAACTTGGATTTCTACTTTTGTAAATTCTTATTGATTGAACTTCAATTGTAAATTTTTTAAATAACTATATTTTTGCATTTCTTTTTATTTTTAGAGTATTCTGGTTGCTTTTGGACATGTTGGAGCACCAAAATGGACATGCTGGATTCAAAATATAATTTGTTTAAAGATGGAGACTACCACAATATTCAGACCAAATAAGTTAGGATTTTGACAAAAACATCCCAGGATTGAAAACCGTGCTTATATGTGAAAAATTGAGCAAGTGACCTCGTTTTGTGACTGACTCTACAACTAAGAAAATGGATTTTTAAAGTGCTTATTCTTTGCATACGGATTAATTAAGAACCCAGCTAAATTTTCCATTTTTCAATTATAGATAAAATGGTTTTAAAATGGATATTAAATGGCTAAAGCAAAAACCATTTATTTTTCATTTTTTATCTCATTTGCATAAATGGTTTTGGAATGGTTAATTTGCATGTTACAGGGCCCAAAAAAATGGAGTTTGAATGGGGTTTGAATGGAGTTTGAATGGAGATAAAATGAAAAATGGTTTTTAAATGGTCATTCTTTCTGTTGAGAATTCTTGAAAGATTTGACAAAATAAATGGCTTCTGAATGGTCTCTAAATGGTCAGAAAACAAATGGTTTTTAAATGGTATCTAAATGGATTTCATTTTGGTAAGGGTATATTGTATCACCAGATGTTCTTACTAGACAGACATGTACATTATTTACTATGCTTTTTTAAAAAGATGATGATAATCCTTGCATTTTTTATGTAAATATATACAGTCATTATTAAATGACTGAAGAGATAGCTTTACCTGCGATTTTCTCAGAGTTTGCTTTTGAATCCTCAGAAGAGTTTGCTTTGTACATCTATTAGAACTCTTCAATTTTAGGAAATAAGAAAAAGCTCAAAATTAAGTCCTTATTAATAGCTTATCATTGAAAATTGATCATGACAGGGAGCACATGACCGGTGTGACCGGTCGGCCGGGGATGCTCACTCCTTCATGGCACCTGATCCAACCTCTGATGATTTGGAGGTCCGTGTTTACTCTGCTCCTATTTTGTATTGCTTTATAGACTTTTGATTTTGAATACCGTTCCTTGTCTTCATAGGTTTCTTGATATTCTCAAAGCTGTAATTGGTACTGTACAAGGAAACAGACTTGAACACTTGAACATTGAAAAAAATTTTTATAACAGGGAAGCTGACTTTGAAGATTCCATGGAAGAACCTGTACACTGAGGCAGTGGTGGCCACGATTGACGGACTGTATGCCCTCGCTGTACCTAATGTCGGTAGGGTCATATATATACCTTTATTTCCTTTGTAGCTTGTAACACGAGCATTGACTGGTTACAAAGTCGGGTGTAAATATCCGTGCACCCGACTTGAGCTGGGTGTAAATAAAATGTGACATCGCAACGCATACATTCTCCATGATAAAAAGCAAATAACGTGACGTCACCATGCATTATAGTACGTAGTTATCTAATTTATAGATTGAGACACACCTGACGTTGACAAAGCTTTTATATGGGTACAAAGAAAAAATTCGTTATCCAGGTCCAATCAAGGGTGTACGGGGATTTACCCCGGGTTTTATTCCATACACCCTGAGGCCTTCGGCCTCAGGGTGTATGGAATAAAACCCGGGTTAAATCCCCGTACACCCTTGATTGGACCTGGATAACTTATAGTATTCTTAGTTAAAGTAAAACAGGACTGGAACATATAGAAATTTCATCATCGAGGAACTTTATAAATTATTGATTCCATTTAAACAAAAATTTTTGATATGCACTAAAACAATTATAGTAGATTTTTTGCCTTTGTTCTCTGTTACATGAAGATGATAGTTGTTAATTTTTTTCCTTTTCTATGGACACAGTAATTTGGTTTTTCTCTCGAGAGACTGGTATTTTCCACAGAACACAAGTTCATTTTCAGACCTGCCTACCCTTCCGCTTTTGGCGTAATTCTTCCGCTTTTTACAACAAAATTACGCTATTACGCCACTGGTATTAATTTTACGCTTTTTATATTTTGGTTTAAATCCATTATGAACGTCTAAGTTTATGAGTCAAAGTCTGCTGAAATGAAATAAGAATTTCTACTAGTTAAAGTAAAAAATCAAAGACAGGTTTAACCAAATAGTTATATGTAAACCGGTATGGCGAAGATTCGGAAGAACACGAGATGATTGATTGATTGTATGCACCTACTGAAACGAGGGACCTCGGTCTTTACGGTCTACTCAGAATGACCGGTCTCCAGGTCCCATTTTGGGATAAAAGCCCGCAACGTAAGAATTGACTCCTTACTGACAAGATAGAGAATTGTGAGTGCTAAAAATAGTGTTATTATGTACAATTTATATAAACATGCAAAAGTAAGCCTTCAATTCAGTGATTTTATACAAATTGACCAAATGCTTCATCAAGGGTTTGCGGTTGATTTAAGTTTAATATAAGATACTAGTGTTTTACAACACTATTTTGCTAATATATGATTCGAAAAAGAAAAGTTTATGCAAGATTTGTTTAATGTACAATTTCGGTGGTTTTGAAAGAAAATAAAGTATTAAAGTAAAAAAAAAAGCAAAATAGGAAAACATGATTGATTACGCTTTTACCTTTGAAATTCCACCAAAAATTTTCTGAAAATACACCCTTGAAACGAAAAAGGTAGGCAGGTCTGCATTTTTTTTCTTTACATAGATTAGATAAATGCAATGTAGTTTTAAACTTCCTGTTGTTTTAAAACCCTTTAAATTATCTTATCAGTGGAGCGTTTCTGATCAAGACAAGCTGGGATCGATATTTAAGGTGTTGACGTAAATAATATGAAAGTTTCTATTACAGTCAGACTCCATGGTCTGTGACAGTTCGAAGGTCACCATTAAACAATTATGTGCCTTAAAGGTCACCATGGTTGTGTAAATCCCATTTAACAATTATGTGCCTTAAATTATCTTGATACTTTATTTTTTTTCTTTGGCAATCAAGGAGAGTGTTGACAAGGTTTTCATCATGCAGTCAGAATTCCCCAGTCTGGTGCTAGTTCTAAGTAGGCAGTCAAAGTTCCATTAAACAACTGTATGCCTATAATTTCCTTGGTA